CTGGGCAAGTAATCCGATCGAGGTCGAAACACGCCGAAAACCGAGTTCCAGCATCTGCCCGAGACTGTGAAGAGTGACGAAGAGGGAGTGCGCATTGAGAGGAAGGTACCGGGGAAGACGCCGATGTGAGACACTGCACCTGCGGTTGAAAAACAGGCTACAAATCTTGGTGGAGAAAAAAGCGGTTTTCGCCGTGGACAAACCACCTTCGCTCGAAATAATACGCGGTTGGAGGGGAGTGTCCCACAACAAAAAGTCTTACCTCAATTGGGGGCAAGTCCTGGCAACTACTAAAACTCGGCTCGGCCCAATGAGTTCGGACGCGAGTTGCAGTGGCTAAGAGAGGAGACAGAATTGACATGTGTGAGGAGGAGAATTTAGAGATCGTGGTTGAGGTCTTTAGAGATCGTAACAAAAGATGAAGGGGGCGGGGGAGGGGGAGGGGGAAGCCGGCTTGTTAAATGAGGAGCTGAGATCTTGCTTGGAATTAGCAAGGAATTCGAAATATGGACGGGGTTTGTGGGGCCCTTATACGTTTGTCATACTCTACGTGAAAACTTCGCGCACCCGAAACTGCATCCAAACAAAAAACTCGGTACCACGACTTTCGCAGCTCAAGCCGAATCAAAAATGAGTGCATGCTGCGGGGCCGAGCCGAGCCGAGCCAGGTCCTAGTGGTTGTCCAAATACGAATTTATAGGTTAACCCGTTCAGATAGCAATCACCTTGCGCTGTGGGCCCTTGTATTTAAAGATAAAGTAGAAAATGAGAAGGAAAAGGAAGAGAAGGAGAACGAAGTGAAAAAAAGGGGGGACGGGAGTATGAAATTATTTGTAATTGGTAAGAAATGTTTCGGTCCATTAAGTTGTATACATTTCTGACCGTTACCACAATTGTATGACGCAGAAAGCTACAAGCAAATTCGGCTATAACCGCATCACGCAATAGTTCACAAACCGAAATCAGGTTTTGAACAACTTTATTTCGATCAACAAATAACAATCTGAGAACAGCTTAAAACCTGGAATTTGTACTTGAGGTTGAACTTCAAAACAACCTGAAATTGATTTCACAAAGCTGAAAACAAAACAAAAAACAAAAATTGAACAACAAATCAAACAATGAGTTCTAAGGAACTGTGCATATTGAATCGTAGTCGCTGGTTTCGCGTACGCCGTCCTTGGTATTTCTCAGCCGTCCTTAGTTTTCGTGATTTTCAAGTTTTCTTATAAAAAAAAAAAAAAAAAACAAATTCGGATAGACATACACATACGTTCATACAAATTTGATCCCCTCATTTTCCAGAAACTGAATTTTAAATCAAATATGCAGAAATGCACAATAAAAATAAAGCATTATATGCAGAAACATTAAACCGATATGTGGAAACATCAATTCTTCAATTAAGAAGCAACAAATTACGATGAAAGCGTGCGTTTTTCGCGCATCAGAGATCAACTTATAGGGCACGCTTCAAAAAACAAACGTTGCTCCATTTGCCTGAGATCAAGCAGAGGTAGAAGGCTTATATTAGGGCGCTAATAAGCTGTTTCAAAAGCTATGGAAGGCTGCGAAATTTATTACAAGACCAAGTTCTCATCAGGTCAATTTTTTTCTCGCTAGTTTGGTTACGGAGAATGAAAACCATGAAACATAAACACAAAGACAAGATCGCATTGATATGCCCCTTCACATTTGCATAAATGCAAAAATATGCAACGAAATTTTTCATAAAACTTTGAAAAAGGCCCCTGCATACGTGTATAGAATAGTTTGGTTGTGGGGACTGAAAACGATGAGATATGCACATAAAGACAAGACCAAGTTGATTCGCATTTGCATAAATGCAAAAATATGCAACGAAATTTTCCATAAACACTTCGAAAAAAGTTCCTGCATATTACGGGAGATTCCTCTCGAATCTGCATGCTGATGATATCGTTTCGCATTCTTATTCGTATAATTTAAATGAAAAACAGATTCCTGAACATCCCAGCTAAAATTGTTAATTGAAGCTTCAACAACAGCCATCGAAAAACATCGTGCCTCAGGCAATTAACTTGTTCTGCAGTTCTCAGCACTTCCCCCTGCCTTCGGTTATTCTAGGAAAAGCGTGGCACTCGGTTTGTCTTTGTTCTCCAACGCATCCCCGACGCAACACATCTGCTACAAACGTATTCCGGACTGTCATCGTCGCTATCAGTTATCTCTTCCTTTCCGGTCGTTTTTGACTTCTGCCCTTGCGCTGCTGCCGGTTTTCCCTCTTTTTTCTTCGGCTCCGTTTTCCGCATTTGCGCCACTTCCGGTTTCCCCTCTTTTTTCGTCGGCCCCGTTTTCCGCATTTGCGCCGCCTCCGGTCTCTCTTCTTTTTCGGTCAATCCCGATTCTCGCATCCGCGCCGCTCGCTGTCTTTCCAATTTGAACTGTCGGAATTTAAGAACCCGCTTCTTCCTCGACTTATCGCGGCCAGTGGTCACCGATGGATTACTAAAT